GCCGTGTGGTTTGGTAACATCAGGACTGTGCCTTTTTACTTGTCAACCTTGGGGCTTCTCAGCCTCAGCAGCCAGCAGCTGTCTGAGTGAAGAAACGCCTCTAGCTCCAGTGGGCCGGGAGCAGGAGGTGGAGCTGGACCCCAAGGTTGAGGGGCTTTCACCCAGCCCCTAGAGTCTGGCACTCTGAACTCGGACTTAAAGCCTCCAAAACTGTAAGAGAATAAACTCCTGTTTGTTAAGGCCATCCCATTGGTGGTATATATTCTTGTCAGAGCGGCACTAGGGAACCAGAATACTTAACCACCAAACAGCAGCAGCAGCAGCAGCCACTGCCGTGGAGTTGGATTTGACTCATAGCGACCCCTCCCCTTGGGTTTCCGAGGCAGCATCACTATGAAAATAGATTGCCCAGCCTTCTTTCCGGGGAGTAGCTGGTGGGTTTGAACCGTCAGCCTTCTACTTAGCAGTCAAATGCTTAGGCACTGGGCTACCAGAGCTCCCAAACACCATGCAGTATCCCCTTATTCTGTTTGAACAACAGCCTCCTGGTCTATGTACATGTTCCTCATGAACACAGTTAAGCATTCTGGAATTTCCATTCTTCTCAATGTTATCCATAATTTGCTATGATCCACACACTCAAATGTTTTTGCATAATCGATAAAACACAGGTAAACATCTTTCTGGTATTCTTTCCTTTCAGCCCAGATCCATCCGACATCAGCAATTATATCCCTCATCCCACATCCTCTTCTGAATCCAGCCTACATTTCTGGAAGTTCCCTGTCAATGTACTGCTGTGTGTATCATTGCTTCATTGTGCTCATGAGGAACCTGTATACACACCAGGAGGCTGTCGGTGGAATAGAACAGGGGAAGGGAGTGTGTCAGTATTGTATCCTTTCATCATACTTATTCAATCTGTATGCTGAGCAAATAATCCAAGAAGCTGGACTAGATGAAGAAGAATGTGGCATCAGGATTGGAGGAAGACTCATTAACAACCTGCAATATGCTGATGACACAACTTTGCTTGCTGAAAGTGAGGATGACTTGAAGCACTTACTGATGAAGTTTAAAGACTACAGTCTGCAGTATGGATTACACCTCAACATAAAGAAAACGAAAATCCTCACCACTGGACCAAAAAGCTGCATCATGATAAATGGAGAAAAGACTGAAGTCGTCAAAGATTTCATATTGCTTGGTTCCACAATCAACACCCACAGAAGCAGCAGTCAAGACATCAAACAATGTATTGCACTGGGCAAATCTGCTGCAAAAAACCTCATTAAAGTGATGAAGAGCAAAGATGTCACTTTGAAGACTAAAGTGCACCTAACCCACGCCTGGTATTTTCAGTTGCCTCATATGCATGTGGAAGCTGGACAATGAATTAGGAAGACCACAGAAGAGCTGATGGTTTTGAGTTGTGGTGCTGGTGAAGAATGCTGAAAGTACCATGGACTGCAGAAGAACGAACAAGTCTGTCCTGGAAGAAGTGCAGCCAGAATGCTCCTTGGAAGTGAGAACGGCCAGACTTCATCTCACCTACTTTGGTCATATTGTCAGAAAGTGACATGTCCCTAGAGAATATCATGCTTGGTAAAGTGGAGGGTCAGCAAAAAAGGAGAAGACCATCAGTGAGATGGACTGACACGGTGGCTGCAACAATGGGCTCAGGGATAGTAAGGATTGTGAGGATGGAGCAGGACTGGGCAGTGTTTTGTTCTGTTGTACATAGGTTCCCAGGAGTCGGAGCCAACTGGACGGCACCTAACAGCAACAACAACATACTGCTGCAACCTTTTAAAATTATCTTCAGCAAAATTTTACTAGCACAGAACCAGACACACACACAATGGAACACTGATGGTACAGTGGTTAAAGTGCTCGGCTGCTAACCGAAAGGTCAGTGGTTTGAACCTACCAGCAGCTCCATGGGAGAATGATGTGGCAGACTGCTTTGGTAAGGATTTACAGTCTTGGAAACTCAAGGGGCAGTTCTATCTGTCCTAGAGGGTCGCTATGAGTCAGCAATATGTCTGGTTTCTTCGGCATCTTTACAGGAGTGGATTGTCAGCTGTTTCCCGCCACCCCCCACCCCCCCCGAGCAGCTGGGCAGGCTCAAACTACCAGCCTTCCGGTTAACAGCCAAATTAAGCAGGACTCCTTTCTGTAAAGATTACAGTTTAGGAAACTCTGCTCTGTCATATAAGATCACTGTGAGCTGGAATTGACTCCTGGGCTCATAACAACAAAAATAACCGACAAATACAACTTGCCCAGGTCAATTTCCTGGTTTTGAGATTGGAGTAGTTACCTGAGAAGTAACCATTAAGGGAAGCTGGGTAAGGGGTACCTGGGTCAGTCTGTGCTCTCTTTGTGACTTCTACAGAGCCTATAAGGAGCCCTGGTGGCGCAACAGACAAGTGCTCAGCTGCTAACCAAAAGCCTGGCAGTTTAAACCCACCCAGTGGCTCCACAGGGAAAAGACCTGGAGATCTGCCCCATAAGGAGGACCGACCAGAAAACCCTATGGAGCGGTTCCACTCTGTCACGAGGGGTAACTAGGAGTTAACAATCAACCTGGCGGCAGCTAACAACATGCTCAGTTGCCACCGAGGCCATTCTAATTCATAGCGAGTGAATTAAACATTTGAGAAAGCAGAACTGTCCCATAGGGTTTCCTGGTCTCCGAATGTTTAAGTAAGCAAAGCCCAAACCAAACCCATTACCTGCCAGCAAGTTGATTCTGACTCACAGCGCCCCTAGAGGACAGGGTACAACTGCACCATGGGGTTTCCAAGATTGCCAATTTACGGAAGCTGACTGCCACATTTTTCTCCACAGAGCAGTTGAGGAATTCAATCTACCAACCTTTTGGTTAGCAGCTGAGTGCTTTAACAATGTACCACCATGACTCCTTACAAAGAGCCTGTAATTATTTCAAAGCATTTTTTAAAGATTTTCATTTCCTAAAAGTATTTTTCAAAAAGTTTTCAGATAATAATGGCAGCATTCATAGTGTGTCCGTCACCCAAGCTAAAAAGATCCCAGAGCCCCTCCTGTATCTCGGGCTGTCTTCTGAGCTTCTGGAAAATAATGTTATTCATCTGCCCAAGGCCATGCTGGTCACAGCTCTCAAAGCTCACTGTTTTCATTTCTATTCATAATTACCTGTGTTTGGGGTATGGTAAAAAAACAATTATCATTATTACTATCTGTGTTTGGGGCACAGACTAAAAATATATATATATGTATATATATATATATGTACTTACCTCACAAACAGAATGGGGACCATAACAACAATTATCCCCAGTAACGTGTGAAACAGGGTGTCCTATACCTGAAATGGGGAAAAAAAAAAAAAAAATCAATGAAAATCTATGTCACAGTCCTTGCAAGTCAGAGAGAACTTCAGAAAGGGGGAGTCTCCATCTCAGTACTATTGACATTTGGGGCTGCATCCATCTTTCTTTCTTTTTATTTATTTAATTTTTTCACTCTTTTTCTAATTATATCTTTGTTATTATTTATTTATTTATTTATTTTAATTTTTGCAGTGTTTTCTCCCTTCCTCTCCCACCTCTGGTAGCCAACAAAGAAAGTTTCCTTCTATATATAAACCTTTCCTTGACTTTTACAATAATGAACTAATACAATATTTGTTCTTCTGTGATTGACTTATTTCACTCAGCATAATCTCCTCCAACTTCATCCACGTTATGCAGTGTTTTGCAGATTCTACATTATTCTTTAGGGTTGCATAGTATTTCATTGTGTGTATGTACTACAGTTTGGTTATCCATTCTTCTGTTGATGGGCCCATAGGTTGTTTCCATCGTTTTGCTATTGTAAATAGTGCTGTGACGAACATGGGTGTGCATGTATCTGTTCTTTTCCTGGCTCTCACTTCTTTAGGATATATACCTAGTAATGGGATTGCTGGATCAAGTGGTATTTCTAATTCCAACTTTCTAAGGACTCACCACGTAGCTTTCTATCACACTATCTGATACATTACTGTGCAGCTTTGTGAATAGCCAGGAAACATTATCCGATGCAGTGCAGGAGGACAAGCCCCTTAAGTCAGAAGGCTTTCAAAATATGACTAGGAAAGAGCTGCATCATCAAAGTAGGACCAACCTTACTGACATGGATAGAGTAAAGCTTTCGAGACCTCCATTTGCTGACATGGCACTACTCAAATTGAGGAGAAACAGCTGCAAACATCCATTGATAATCGGAACATGGAATGTATGAAGTATGAATCTAGGAAAATTGGAAATTGCAAAAAATGAAATGGAACACACAAAAATTGATATCCTAGGCATTAGCTAACCAGAAGGCTGGTTTCAAACCCACCAGCCACTCCTCAGAAGGAAGGTTGGGCAATCTACTTCCGTAGTGATACTGCCTTGGAAACCC